GGTTTGGACTAAATACCATCCACTAATGCTGGCAGTGGCAGATTTTATGATGTAGTAGAACTATTGAATTTCACTATTTTGCTGAACTTTTGTTATGGAAATCTGCTCACACAGACCCTGGACACTCTCAGGCTCCTGGTTTTTGTTCCCAAGGCACAGTTCTGAACGCAGAAGAACCACATCCTGAGGGAGCTGCAAACCTCCGCGTAGGGATGAGCTGATGGCTGAAACAGCTGGTTCTACTCTGCCCTCCTACCACGCTTCACCAGCCGACTTCCCACCCTCTTCCCCTGACTCCCACAAACACGTATTCCCTCCTCCTGCTTGCACAGGGAATTGGTATTTTCAGCTATCTGTGTTTCTGCTTGGATCCTGTCCTCAAGGCTCTTGGTAGCCACCAGCCTTGGTTGAGATTCTTGGTACTGTTCGCTTTCCTCTGGGTACTTCACACGTTTACCCTCTGCATTCCACATCCTAGAGATTTATGACCTCTCATGACACAACTGGTAAACTCTTGCTTTTAAAGAAATTAAATCATTATTATTGTATTATGCCCCTGTCCCTGTTTTGAATGTTAGCCGAGTTCCCCACTTATTATTTCATCATGGTTCGAGATTACTAAGCTCTCTCATGGATGGGTCTGGCATGTATATTATGTATACATTCATGGAATGACGTGTGTGTGGTGAATAGTGTGCTTGTGTGTTCCGGTTCATAACATACTGGTTAAAATTATGTTTGGGTTTGCGTGATTGATTTGGTGTTTATAAATGTCAATGTGGGGTGAGTTTTGCTTCAGTGGAAATGGTACGTGTGGTTTGTGTCTGTGTTAATTTGACACTTATCGAGGGACATCGATTGCCTGTCTGCTGACTGTGGGTTTGTGTCGTATCTGTTGTTAAATGGTTTAATGGTGCAATGTGATTAGCGGGAATATTCTCTTTGAGACTGGAGAAATTAGGGTATTCGTGAAATCTGTGGGGATAATGAAGGAACAGAAGGACTTGAAAATCGAAAGGCAGAGAAACAGAATATACGAACTGTGAAAACAGGACTGTGCAAAGAGCTAAGGTAGATGAGGCTGCAGAGGACCGAGTATGAGATTAAACGGATAAAAAATGCAGTTGTGCCACGAAATTAAAGTATGAAAGACTGAGCGCTAACAAAGTTAAGTTAGAAGTAGAGAGACTCTTAAGCATTCACCAAACAGAAACGCATCGGTATATTAGAACACATGCAACAGACATTCAGAACATCACTACTTAGGGTATCTCTGGAATGAAATAACACAAACGCTCAGGAGAGTATAATCAATCAAGAAATAATTTATATTCAGACAGTGGACTGTATGTAGCCATGAAAATGAACAAACTACAGCCACAGGCCTCATGGGTAGATTTCCTGACGAACCTAATGAGTGAAAGGATTCAGATACAAAGTGTAAATGTGTACTTCTATTTATATAAAGTTTAAA